AAGATTAAACATATGAAAATGTATGAAAGACAGTAAGGAGCAAAATTTTGAACAAAGGGACGGGGTTTTGAGCTTTACCTAGAGAGTCTGCATAAACTTGACCTAAATGAACCTTCAATTTCATTAGTCAAAAAAATGACAATAAAAGAAACACACCTAAAATAAACACACAATATTATAAAACTAAAAACAAACATACAAAATAAAACAATGAGAAAATGATATCAATCTTTTGGATCATGTAAATCAATGAACTCTTCTAATCAAGAGAAATTCTCAAAAAATGGTTTCAAACGATGCCCATTAACTTTAAAAATATTTTCATTACTTGGATTTTCAATTTCTACAGCTCCATGTGGGTAAACAATTTTGACAATGAAAGGACTAGTCCACTTGGAGGGTAATGATCGATTGATTACCTGCAAGTGAACGGGATCGTGAACAAGTAATAAAGTGACATGTAGAGTATCGAATCCACGAGAACTATGTGTTTGATCGAGTTAAAGCTAATAATTCTCTTAATCGAATAGCAAGGTCGAGTTGTAACTAACACTATTAAATCTATCAACTAAATAGAAAACAAGTAAAAGTTTATCAAATTTGCGAGAAGTAGTGATAAGATGTGGAATCCCCCTTGCTACTCCATTTTTAGTTCGACAATTTAAATTGAGAATTTGAAATCATGCTTGTTGGTCAATGTTTCTATTTTAATTGAAAACTTCTCTCGATAGTTATCAAATCTATTCTCCTCATGTGACCTTCCTATCCCTCGATGAAATATGCGAACATGATAAATGCATTAAACGAGGTAGAACATCTTATAAAAATCATATGAAGCATAGAGGTATATCTCTATCCTCTATCGAACCTCACAATATTTATTATTTTGTGCTAACGATCCTATTGTCTCTCTCGATAACAACAAAATCCACAAACAATTCAACTAGTGGCCAACTAATTGAAAAGCATGAAAACAATAATAAACATCTAAACAATTAAACAAATTAACGTCAATTAAATTATTCAAATTAGAAATTCATAACAAGAGTTCATCACATCCTAGCAAATATGAAAAATTAGCGTAACATATTTAAATTACAAGAAATCATATATAAGTGGAAAGACATAACCCAGATTTTTGATAAATTGAGAAGATGAAGACAAATCTTGAAATCTTGAATCTCTTCAATGGTTTCTTAATAAATCTCCACTTGCACTCTCTCTTCTTTGCCCAATACCAATTTTGAATTTTCACTTGGTTGAATTCTTGCAAGTCCCCTTCAATTCTCTCACAAAAACAATGAATTATCCTGTATTCTCCTGTTGGGTATCTGTGGTCGAAAACTGATGAAAATCAGGTCCAAATTGGTTTACAAAAGAGTTCAAATCAAATAAGGAAAGTTATACTTGCGCGCGGATTTTTTGTCTCTACATAGCAGTCAATATTTTGATCATAACTTTGTCTCCCGATATCCAATTTAGTTGATTCAAAATAAATTGGAAAGATAACTAAAAGGACTACAATTTTTCTTGAATTAGATATTTTCCAATTCGAATGTTTACTATGCCAAAAAATTGGTCGTAATCCTTGACTAAAAATCCGAAAAATATATCATGTAATTGGAAGTCGATTTATGGTAATATTCTGATCATATTCCATTACTTTTTGACTTCTAATTGCATCCAATTGACTCCCATCAATCTTTAAAATATCACTTATGGTCCAATTCAACTATTGGATATTTGCAATTTGGTTCTCAACTTTGTACCTCGCAATTTTTCGCCCTTTTTCACTTCTTTCTTTTGATTTAACTTCCAACTATCGAGTTTTACCTAATAAATGAAATATACAATAAATTAGGCTATAATTACTTTAAAGAACTATTAAATGTCTATATTTTTAGGTCTACATAAGTGTATAAAATACACTTATCAAATATCCCCAAACTTAAACATTTGTTTGTCCTCAAATAAAATCATAATTTAACTTAACAAACACACAAACATGTAAAATATTTTGGTTGGATAATCTAGCTTTTTACATCGTAATGAACATAATCCATGTGAAATTTAAGTCAAATTTGATTAGAAACATGGTAACAAAAAAACCTGCATGAAATTTTAGTCAAATTTGATTAGAAATGTGCTAAGGAACCAAAGTCCTGGGAAAATTTATTCAAACTTGAGTGGAAACGGGCCAATGAACAAAATGCAGATGAAATTTTAGTCGACTTTGATTTGGAATGCACCAACGAATAAAATTCTGGTGAAATTTTAGTCAAATTTGATTCGAAACACGTCCATGAACTAAATTCCAGTGAAATTTTTGTCAAATTTGATGGGAAATGCGCCAATAAACCAAACCCATGTGAAATTTTAGTCAAATTTGATGGGAAAGATGCTAACGGACAAAATTCAGATGAAATTTTAGTCAAATTCGATTTGATATAAGCCCATGAATGAAGCCCAGGTGAAATTTTAGTCAAATTTGATTGAAAGCACTCCAATGAACAAAACTTATGTGAAATTTTAGTCAAATTTGAATGGAAAGGCCCCAACGAAAAAATCCTCTTGAAAGTTTAGTCAAATTTGATGGGAAAGGTACCAGCGGACAAAAATCAGATAAAATTTTAGTCAAACTTGATTTGATACAAGCCCATGAATGAAACCCAGGTGAAATTTTAGTCAAATTTGATTGGAAACGCTCCAATGAACAAAACTTATGTGATATTTTAGTCAAATTTGAATGGAAATGCACCAACAAAAAAATCATCTTGAAAGTTTAGTCAAATTTGATTCGAAATGTGCCAATGAACCAAAGTCGCGTAAAATTTTAGTCAAATTTGATTGGAAACGCGCCATTGAACAAAATCTAGATGAAATTTTAGTCAAATCTAGATGAATGGAGATCACCGTATTAAATTTACAAACTGCTTTAAAGTCACAAAACCAAACTAATATCCATTTTTTAATGCAAAATCGACGCGCGCGTGTGTGTGTGTGAAGAACTAGGTAGAGATTAATGACTTCACAAGTTGTTCCAATTTTCGACCCTCTATGGTCAAATTTATCATTTCGTCTCTCGTAAGATTCACATACCCCCAAACTTATTTTTTTCACTCTTTCCCCAGCATGTGATCTAAGAATGAGTTTTTCATTACTATCCTCACCCTCTCCAATTTGGGTGGATGTCACTAGTTGCAAGTCAACACATCAATGAATAAGGATTCTCCAATTATTTGATTGCTTCGACTGCAAGACTCAACTAGACTAATTATCTTTCATTGAAAGTCAAATTCTCTCGAACAAGTGTTAGGACTTAACAAGGCATTTAATGCAATTTATGATTATTATTGTTGTTATTGTTGTTGTTCTTATTATTATTATTATTATTATTATTATTATTATTATTATTATTATTTTGTTTTTTGTTTTTTTTTATTTTTTTATTTTGCACTCTCCCTTAAGCTTTCTAGATGACCTGTGTAGCAGGCTTTAGGCTGATGACTTTCAAGTCAGACGACTTTAGGGCACCAGATTTTTAAACACCCTTACAGGCTTAATAATCCGAGTCATAAAGGTTTCGAAGAGAACAATTATTATTATTTTTTCATTAGCAACTTTATCTCTGATTGCTTTCTAAACAACCCCTCTAGCAAGCTTTAGGCCGATGACTTCCAAGTCAGATGATTTTAGGGCATCAGGTTTTAAGATACCCTTGCAGGCTTAATTGTTCGAGTCATTAAGGTTTCAAAGAGAAGTTTTAAATTCTAAAATATATGTCTTGATTAGTGCAATGCCCCTTATCATACACATATTCAAGAAAACTGACCTCCAACTCAAAACTTTCACCCAATTTTATCCTATTCATCTCAAACACTCCACACAATTTTTTTTTAACACAAGGAATCCCCGGCCACATCCGTTTTTTCTTACAATAGTAAAATCACCCCAAGCTGTGATAAATTTGGTCTAATGATAATTAGTTTAGTATAGTTTGGGTAAAGCATGTATGTCCAACTAAATCCACCTATCAAGAGCATGAAAAAACTCATTTCATCATAATGTCAAACTTAATTCTAGTATGCATATAATATCAAGTTTTGAAATGTTAAACTTCAATCACTCTAGCATGCAACATATCCACAGTTCTTAAATTAACACTAAATCTAAATTTAGATCATCATTGCCAGCCAGGCTATCCAATCCACACAAGCATGCAACCTAATAAAAAAAAATTTGTTGTTTTTTTTTGGTTTTTTAAATAGTACTAAACAAACGTACCAAAACACAAAAGCATACGAAAACCAAAAAACTCAATGTTTTTTTTCACCCCCAAACTTGAACCAGACATTGTCTTCAATGTTATAAAGCAAAAGAAGAGTATAAGAGAATGGGGAAGAAAAGGAAGAAAATACTCCCCGAAGTTTTCTGTTGAATATGTGAGGCACTATGGATGACGGCTTGACAATCTCTGCCATCATATTTCTCCTTTGATCTATGTTGGTTTGAGTGTTTCATGACGTCATGTTCCTGACATAGCAGTTCAAATCAAACATTAAAATTCAAATAACCTAAAACTTATGTTACTTAGCCAAAACAATCAAAATATCAACAATAAATTAGATGGCGTAAGGGGAGTATTAAGGATGTCGATACCCTACAAATTAAAATGTGCCTAAATCTAATGCAACCTAGTAATCAAAACAAATATATATGCTATACGATGCAGAAAGCAAAATAAATAAAAAAGTTAGAAGTTGGGTTGCCTCACAATTAGCGCTTAATTTATAGTCTTTAGCTAGACTGTATGGATGAATTGATTACGGTGGCTTAAATATGTGTTTTGAGCTTTTACACTACTTACAATTTCCGACCTTTCATCCTCGTTTTGCCCTCCAAACCTTGAACCCTCCATTCTTCTCTCGTCCAACGCCAACTAGATGTTTAGGCTCTGTCTCTCTTGAGCCTTGTTGCACCTTTGTAGCAATATACTTGCACTATTCCTTAACCTTTTTGCTGATCTCTTCATGTAATGGATTCTCGATAGTGTTGTAGATCTTGAACTTCTCTTGCTTATCTTCCACTCTCAATGTCAATTCGCCACATTCAAAGTCCATGACAGCTCGGCTTGTTGATAGAAAGGATCTGCCCAAGATAATTAACACTACATACCATGGCTCTTCTATATCTAGGACAACAAAATCAATGGGAAATATGAAATTTCCCACTTTAATGAGCACGTTCTCAACCACTCCTCGTGGGTATTTAATTGATCTGTCTGTTAATTAAAGGGAGATGGATGTGTCCTTAACTCTTCCAATCCTAATTTCTTGTATATAGAGAAAGGCATTAAGTTTATACTTGGTCCTGAGTCGCATAAACAATTAAAATTCGAATCATTCCCTATTGAGCAAGGTATTTTGAGACTCCCTGGATCTTGTAGCTTAGGAGGTAATTTGTTCTGCAAGATGGCACTACACTCCTCATTTAACTTGATGGTTTCAAAATCTATAAGCCTTCTCTTTTTCGATAGGATCTCCTTCAAAATTTTTGCATAGTTTGATATTTGAGATAAAGCTTCAATCAAAGGGATATTGACATGAAGCTTCCTGAAGATATCCAAGAACTTTGTAAATTGTTCTTCCAACTTCCTCTTTTGTAATCTCTGTGGAAACGAGATAGGAAGCCCATAAGGTTTGACAGGAACGATTGCCTTAACCTGTAGATTTTCTGATTGTTGATATGGAACTATTTTATCTGGCTATTCAGATTTATCCACTAGCTCCTCATCTATGGAAGGTACTTTTTCATTTACTTTTACCCATCTTTCGACTGTGATTTCTGGAAGTTGAATCCCACTATGTGTAGTGATTGCCCCAACCTCCTCATTCTCTACAAATTTTACTACCATTACCTGCTGCTTATGATTTATCTCAGTGTCGCTTGGCAATGCTCCTTGTTGTCTTTCTGAGAGTGCCGGGACATTTGATTCTCCGAATTTTTTATGGCAGCACCCTGAACTTGCAAGCTCTTATCCGTTCTCTGCATATGTTGAGTGGACATTTCTGCTAACTTAGTCACAAGATCTTCTAACAAAGACTTCTTCTCATTCTGCTGAAATCCGGGTGGTGTGGTCTACTGTGGCGCAATGTGAACTCCCTGATTATTACTCCATTAAAAACCTAGGTGATTTCTCCAGCCTAGGTAATATGTGTTAGGATTTAGATTGTGTTGTTGCTTTAGAAAATTCTAAGTGTAGTTCACATCTTCTACCGTCTGAGCAAAAAGGAGATCCTACATTACAATCAACACTCTCATGGTTCCCTCCACAACGTTTGCATTTCGGTCCCACTATCTAGGCTACACTCATCTGATCTACCTTCTGTGCCAATGATGCCAATTGTGCTAAAAGTGCTGTTAAAGAATCAACTTCGAATACCCCCAGCAGCTTTCTTTCCACTCGTTCTTTCAGTAGGCTAAAGTGCACTGGTAAATGCCAAATCCTCCATGATTTGGTAGATCTAGTCTGCAGTTCCTTTTGTGATAGAACCATCACATGCAGAGTCTACGTTATCCCTGCTAATCGGGTTCAAACCAATGTAAAAGTATTGCATTTGAAGCCACTTCTGCAATTCGTGTTGTGGGCACTGGCGAAGTAAACCTTAGTATCGTTCCCAAGCCTCTGAATAGCATTCTGAGTCCATTTGCTGAAAAGTGGTGATCTCATCCCTTAGCTTTGCAATCCTTTTTGGTGGAAAATATTTGCTAAGAAATTTCTGACTCAATTGGTTCCATGTTATGATGCTCTGTGGTGGGCAAGTGTCTAACCATTCCCTTGCAGAATCCCTCAATGTGTATGGGAAGAGCCTTAGTCTAATTGCTTCGCTTGAAACCCCCGGATATTCAATTGTTGCACACGTCTAGAAATCTTGATATATGAGCATTGGGATTTTCTATAGCTTTCCCAAAAAATTGTAGTGCATTTTGAAACACGTTGATAACATCTGTCCTTAGGTCGAAGTTTGCCTGGCCAAATGCCAAATATACGATACTGGACTGGCTTTCCACTACTGGTGGAACCATATACTCTCCCATGAGCCTTGCATTTTCATTGATTGTGGCAATATTCGGTTGTGCTACTCCTAGACTAGCCCCAATGGCTATTTGATTCAGATTTTCATTTGCCATGTCTTCCTCTTTTTATTTTTGATGTGTTTCAAGCTGTTGTCTTCTTCGAAAGTTGAATGTTTGTTCGATTTCTGGGTCAAATTGAGTAAGATCACCAGTTCTCGAACTTCACATACAAAGTCTTGAAAAAGAAAGCAAGAAACACTGTAAAAATTTTCTAAATTAATGAACTAAACTAAAAATAAGAAAAATTAAGATTAAAGTTAAAATTAACTAAAACTAGTCAAAAACAATAGTCCCCGACAACGGCGCCAAAAACTTGATCGATTGATTACCCACAAGTGCACGGGATCGTGAACAAGTAATAAAGTGGTGTGTAGAGTATCGGACCCACAAGGACTATGTGTTTGATCGAGTTAAAGCTAAGTATTGCTAAGATGTGGAATCCCCCTTGCTACTCCATTTTTAGTTCGAAAATTTAAATTGAGAATTTGAAATCATGATTGTTGGTCAATGTTCTTATTTTAATTGAAAACCTCTCTCGATAGTTATCAAATCTATTCCCCTCATGAGACCTTCCTATCCCTCGATGAAAGATGCAAACATGATAAATGCATTAAATGAGCTAGAACATCTTATAAAAACCATATGAAGCATAGAGGTATATCTCTATCCTCTATCGAACCTCACAATATTTATTATTTTGTGCTAATGATCCTATTGTCTCTCTCGATAACAACAAAATTCACAAACAATTCAACTAGTGATCAATTAATTGAAAAGCATGAAAATGATAATAAACATCCAAACTGTTAAACAAATTAACGTCAATTAAATTATTCAAATTAAAATTTCATAACAAGAGTTCATCACATCCTAGCAAATATGAAAAATTAGCGTAACATATTTAAATTACAAGAAATCATATATAAGTGGAAAGATATAACCCGAATTTTTGATAAATTGAGAAGATGAAGACAAATCTTGAAATCTTGAATCTCTTCAATGGTTTCTTAATAAATCTCCACTTGCGCTCTCTCTTCTTTGTCCTACCAAGTTTGAATCTTCATTTGATTGAATTCTTGCAAGTCCTCTTCAATTCTCTCACAAAAACAATGAATTCTCCTCCTTTTATAATGATAATTGATGAAAATTGGAGCATATTATGTATAAAAGAAAAGTATGAGAGCCCCCTTTGTGTATTCTCCTATTGGGTATCTGTACTGGTTGAAAATTGGTGAAAAATCACGTCCAAATTGATTTCCAAAAGAGTTCAAATCTAATAAGGAAAGTTACACTCGCGCGCGAATTTTTTTATCTTTGCATAGCAGTTAGTATTTTGATTATAACTCTGGCTGCTGATATCTGATTGAGTTGATTCAAAATGAGTTGGAAAGCTAACTAAAAGGGATACAATTTTCTTAGAATATATATTTTCTAATTCAGACGTTTACTATGCCAAAAATTGGTCACAATCCTTGACTAAAAATCTGAAAAAATACCATGTAATTGGAAGTCGATTTATGGTAATATTCTAATGATATTCCATTCCTTTTTGACTTCTAATTGCATCCAATTGACTCCCATCAATCTCTAAAATATCTCTTATGGTCCAATTCAACTATTGAATATTTACAATTTGGTCGTCAACTTTGTACTTCGCTATTTTTCGCTGTTTTTCACTTCTTTCTTTTGGTTTAACTTCCAACCTTCGAGTTTTACCTAATAAATGAAATATACAATAAATTAGGCTATAATTGCTTTAAAGAAATAATAAATGTCTATATTTTTAGGTCTACATAAGTGTATAAAATACACTTAATCACGTAATTTTCTAGGAAATAAATGTAACTTTAAGTTGTACAAAAGAACTTTTTGGGAAGGCTCAAAAGTTTTTCTAATAATGTTTTTATCATGGAATACCTTCATTATTTCCTTGTAAATTTGAGAGTTCTCATAAGCTTCATTCTTGATTTCTTTCAACTCATTCAGTTGAAGTTTCCTTACTGAACCTACCTCATCTAAACTCTTTGAAGAATTTCTTTTTATCTTGCGCATTCCAATGAGATAGTATTTGGCCGAAAAAGTTTCATTTTCACCCAAAAATGAGTATTTTAGATTAGATGGTAATGGCTTCAAGTCGAGATTTGGCATTTAAACACTTGAAATCATGGACATATTAGACTGTTGTGATAATTTTTCAAACTTTGATTTCCAATCACTTGTCTTTCTCTCCTGAAAAGAATTCAACAAAGAAATTATATGCGAATTTTTAGAATTATCGTTAAATTCAAATTCTAGCGCATCAGATGAAGATGTAGCGATAAACTGATCATCAAAAAATTGTTCAATAAAATCTACTTTATGCAAATCATCTTTATCTCCATGTTGCTTGCAAATGTTAAAAACATTCATTTCCACGATCATGTTTCCAAAAGAGAGTTTCAAGATACCATTTCTACAATTTATCAACGCATTTGAGGTAGCAAGAAAGGGACGTCCTAAAATGACAGGTATTTGTGCCTTTGAATTTAAAACAGGATGTGTGTCCAAAACTATAAAATCAATGGGATAATAGAATTTATCAACTTGAACTAGAACATTCTCTACAACTCCTCTTGAAACTTTTACTGAAAGATTAGCAAGTTGAAGTGTTGTTGTTGTTGGCTTAAGTTCTCCCAAACCAAGTTGCTCATACACAGAAAAAGGTAATAGATTAGCGCTAACACCAAGATCAAGTAAAGTACGCTATATCATATTATTCCCAATCACACAAGAAATTGTTGGACAACCAGGATCTTTGAATTCAGGTGGAGTGTTTTGTTGAATGATTGAGCTCACGTTCTCTGTCAAAAATGCTTCTTGTTGAACACACATGTCTTTTAAAAATTTTACTTATGAAGGAACTTGTTTGATTGCATCCAATAATGGTATGTTAATTTTGACTTGTTTGAAAAGTTCAAAAATTTTAGAATTATGGTTGAGTTTTGAAATTGGTTGCAATCGTTGAGGAAATGGAGTTAGAATGGGACATTTTTCAACACTAGGTTCAGAAATGATTTTTTCCTCAGTTTTGGAAACATCTTTTTCTTGCTTTGAAGTTCCACCCGGTTTTAGTTCTTTTAAAGAAATAGTTTTGTCAATAATTTTTCCACAACGAAGAGTCGTGATGGAGTTGGCATTTTCTTGTTGACTTTTAGAGGAACTAGAAGCATTTACATTAAATTGCCTAGAATGATTTAGTTGAGGTTGAACAGGAAATTTACCTTTCTCTTGAGAATGCAACAAAGAGGTCAATGAAGAAAGTGTGTTCTTGATTTCATTGATGGCTTGTGAAGTTTGACTATTAATGTTTGCTTGTCCTTGCATGAATGACTGCAATGTTTCCTCAAGAGTTTTTAACTGTGGTGGTGGAAAAGAAGGAAATTTTGAAAGCCCTTGAGATTGTGATATATGAACACGATTATCATCTCTCCAACTAAAGTTGGGATGATTTCTCCATTGTTGATTATATGTTTCTGAGAATGGAGAAGGAAAAGGCTTTTTGAAAGTGTTCATAGCATTGGCTTGATCATGTAAAACTTCTTTGAAAACTGGGATGTTAGGACAATCATGCATTGGATGACCAAAAGTTTCACAAATGCTACAAATTTCATCATTTTGCACGGGTTTAACTTCCTTTACTTTCCGTAATTCCATAACTTCAACCTTTCTAGACAAACTAGCAATCCTAGCATTTAGATCATCATCTTGACTCAATTGATACTTTCCTCCACTAGAACT